GGAAAAGACCCGAACACACCTAGACCTAGATAGATAGATGGATGGATGGATATAGATATAGATATAGATATAGATATAGATATAGATATAGATATAGATAGATATAGATATAGATATAGATATAGATATAGATATAGATATATTTGTAGATTTTCATGGGTATGCAGGTCTTGGCGTGTTCGGGTCTTTTCCCGTGTAAGATTGAGAGCATCTTGGCAACGTTTCGATGAGGTCCCACTCGCCATCTTCAGGCTGGTGCTTTTGGCTTCGTGCTTGTGCAAGCAAAGCGTGATCGGAGCTGCCGTCTCACTATAGATACTGGTGGGGAGGTTGGCTGTGTTGTCATTTCTAACAAACCAATCAACATCAACCAATCAAGAAATTACAACACAGCCAACCTCCTCACCAGTATATATAGGGAGAAGGCAGCTATACAGTTATAGTTAGTTATAGTTATATAGTTATACACTGCTCAAAAAAATAAAGGGAACACAAAAATAAGACATCCTAGATCTGAATGAATGACATATTCTTATTAAATACTTTGTTCATTACATAGTTGAATGTGCTGACAACAAAATCACACAAAAATTATCAATGGAAATCAAATTTAGCAAACCATGGAGGTCTGGATTTGGAGTTACACTCAAAATTAAAGTGGAAAAAAACACTACAGGCTGATCCAACTTTGATGTAATGTCCTTAAAACAAGTCAAAATGAGGCTCAGTAGTGTGTGTGGCCTCCACGTGCCTGTATGACCTCCCTACAACGCCGGGGTATGCTCCTGATGAGGTGGCGGATGGTCTCCTGAGGGATCTCCTCCCACACCTGGACTAAAACATCCCCCAACTCCTGGACAGTCTGTGATGCAACGTGGCGTTGGTGGATGGAGCAAGACATGATGTCCCAGATGTGCTCAATTGGATTCAGGTCTGGGGAACGGGCGGGCCAGTCCATAGCATCAATGCCTTCATCTTGCAGGAACTGCTGACACACTCCAGCCACATGAGGTCTAGCATTGTCTTGCATTAGGAGGAACCCAGGGCCAACCGCACCAGCATATGGTCTCACAAGGGGTCTGAGGATCTCATCTCAGTACCTAATGGCAGTCAGGCTACCTCTGGCGAGCATATGGAGGGCTGTGTGGCCTCCTAAAGAAATGCCACCCTACACCATTACTGACCTACTGCCAAACTGGTCATGCTGGTCATGTTGCAGGCAGTAGAACATTGTCCACGGCGTCTCCGTACCCTGTCACATCTGTCACATGTGCTCAGTGTGAACCTGCTTTCATCTGTGAAGAGTGAATGTGCCAATCTTGGTGTTCTCTGGCAAATGCCAAATGTCCTGCACAGTGTTGGGCTGTAAGCACAACCCCCACCCTCATACCACCCTCATGGAGTCTGTTTTTGACCGTTTGAGCAGCCACATGCACATTTGTGGCCCGCTGGAGGTCATTTTGCAGGGCTCTGGCAATGCTCCTCCTCTCCCTCCTTGCACAAAGGAGGAGGTAGCAGTCCTGATGTTGGGTTGTTGCCCTCCTATGGCCTCCTCCACCTCTCCTGATGTACTGGCCTGTCTACTGGCCTGATAGCGCCTCCATGCTCTGGACACTACACTGACAGACACAGCAAACCTTCTTGCTCCAGCAACTTATATATATATAGTTATATATATATATATATATAGTTATACTAGCTTGATACCCATGCTTCACTATGAAACTATGTGATTGGGCTTAGTTTTTGGGGAGGAAAGTAAGAGGGGAAAATTCTGTCTCTGCCTATCAGCATCTATCACTATTCATCTGGCTAGCGTCCTGTCAGTATGTGAGAGAGTTAGGGGCTGCTTGGAAACTGAACCAGTATTTGCTGTATGAGCAAGAAGGAGACAACAAGGAGCCTGGGCAGGCCTTAGCTCAACTGTTCTGTACTACAGCTGCTTGGTGCTGTGAAACTGAAACTCCTCTCCTATGCTTGGGTTTTGCATTTGGAAGAGATTTCCTTTCAGGTGGGGAGGGGGAGTAGAACTCCTTAGCATCAGAGCGTGTTAATAATAACATAGGAAATACTAATGCTCTGGTGGTCATTTTGAAAAATCCTTTCTTAGTGAGCGCCTAGAAGCCAAGATTAACATACAGGCCAAGTTTCAAGTTTGTAAGCTTTACAGTTCTGGAAATTTTGTGATGGTGCGTGAGTGGTATTTCACTTGTGTATATATAGATCTGGTTAAGACTTTTATAAGCTCAACTCCTGATCCCTTAATTGGAGTTCAGATCCCTAGCCTTCTGGCTAAGATTTATGGGGGTTGTAGTCCTAATATCCAATCTGGAAAACAATTATATTTACTCCTTGAAGTGCAAGGGTTCCTCAGCGTATGATCATAATCAAGTCTAAAATTGTTAGCTGAATTCTGCCCCATTTTACGACCTTTCTTACCACAGTTGTTAAGCGAATCCCTGCCCTGGTTAAATAAGTAACGCGGTTGTTAAATGAATCTGGCTTCCCCATTGACTTTACTTGTCAGACGATCACAAAAAATGACCCCATGACCCAGGGACTCTGCGGCTGTCATAAATACAGGCTAATTGCCAAGCACCTGAATGTTGATTGCTTGACACAGGATATATGCAACAGTTGTTTTAAGTGTGAAAAACGTTCACAAGTCACCTTTTTCAGCACAGCTGTAACTTCGAACGATCGCTAAATGAACGTGGCTGTAAGTCGAGGAATATGAATCGTGGAATCTTTGCTGGTTTATGCAAGTCAGCCATTCTTTTAATCCTGGGATTTGCAAATTTAGTTTGCACTGAAAAGCTTGCATGGGGCCACATGGTCAAGGTCATACATCTCATACTGACCTCTTCCCAGGTGTCCAGCAGCATGACATCTTCTTCGTCCAGGTCATCCTGGCCAAAATCCACTATTTCAGTCATAATGAATCGCCCAGTCTGGTTGGAGCATTCGAACAAGCGAGCCTGATAGTGAGGAACTTGTTCCTGGAATCTTTCACATCGCAAGATTGGGAAGGAGAAAAGAGACAAGGGAAACAAATTTATTTCCATATTCTGTATTAGCACAGATTCTTACTTTATTGTCATTGCATCTCATACAACGAAATCAAACACCATCTTCAGTGCACATCAAGACCATGAAAATAAACACAAACACACATTCTTCACACTCCACACATTGAATTGAAAACCCCTGATACTGCATTAATATTGCACTATACGGTAGGATTCAACAGAGTTACTGTCCTGGGATAGAAGCTGTTTTTCAGCCTATTTGTCCTTGAAAGGAAAGAAAAAAAGGAGTGAGGAGTGAGGGAGGGAATAGGGAGGGAGGAAGAAGGTTCAGGAAGGGATGGGGGAATGAAAGAAATTTTAATTTAAAAAACAGCTTCTATTTACTTTATTGTCATTGCACATCATACAATGAAATCAAACACCATCTTCAGTGCACATCATGAAAATAAACACACACATCCTTCACACTCCACACATTGAATTGAAAACCCCCGACACCGCACCAATACTGCACTGTACAGTAGAATCCAACAGAGCTACTGCTCTGGGATAGAAGCTGTTTTTCAGCCTATTTGTCCTTGTTTTTATTATCCTGTACCATCTGCCAGATGGTAATAGTTCAAAAAAAGGGTTCCCAGGATGAGATGGATCTTTGAGAATGTTTTGAACTTTCTTAAGGTTTTTACTTTTCTCATACAAGAAAAGAAAGGATCTTCCGCCAGCAAGGCTTTCCAAAATGTTCAAAAGTCTATCTCCAAACTGTTGTAAGTGCAATGATGTATCAGGCACATTTTTTCACATGTGGTGACCCTGCAATGCTGCAAAAAAAAAAAAGTATTGGAGATTGATCCAGGCATGGGTGGAACAAATGGTGGGAGAGTGTATTCCATTTAAGCCGGAATTTTTTCTTCTAGGAATAATACCAGAAGGATTTAGGAAGGATTTAATTTATCTAATACTACATGTGTTGACAGTGGCTAAAATAATATATGTGCAAAACTGGAAGAAGGAAAGCATACCGCCAGAAACAGATAATAAGGAAAATTATGGCCTGTGCAGAATTGGACAGATTAACCCTAGAATTAAAAAACAAGGGGAAATCTGAGTGCTATGAAATGTGGAATAAATTCTATCAGTGGTTGCATAGAAGAAAGCAAGGGCGAAACATAAGTAGCTATGATGATTAGAATAATAAACAATGTATGAAACAACAGGATTGTAAATGGTGAAATAACATTTATATATGTATTGTAGCGCCAGAAAGGCTGCATCGTGTTGTATTCTTATAATTAAAATAAAATAAATTAAAAAAAGGAAAAGGAAGGAAGTCACATTCTTGACTCCCTGATTAACAATGCTCTTCATAGAGATTCCCTTTGTAGAAAGTTAGCGTCCACTCCTCTCTTAGAAGAATGAAATATTTTGAGAAATACTGAAAAGGCAGAATATTATATTTCCCTGCATGAGAAATGGAGAAACTCACTCTTGGAAAACAAGCCCCCACCTTCCTTAATAGCCTACAGCAGATGTCAGCACTTAAGAGATAAAGAGATAGCTAGCTCTATTCATAAGCAAATATCCTCACCCAAGATCCAACGATGGTAGGATTAGCCCTCAGCCACAATAGGAATTGCCCAAAGCCCCTTCATTGTATCATCTCAGTTGCACCACCCTCAACAAACTTCAAACAAGCTTAGCTCAGACAAACTCCTAAGATTTGTACATGGCCCCATGGGAGTCTGACGACAGCCAATAGAGCACATGTTCTTGCACAGGAACAGGAAGCTCAAGTTCAAACCCCAAGAGAAGGCATAACACACACACACACCACTCTCAACTCCATGTGGCCACCTGCCCAGGACCATCCAGGTGGTTCTGCTTCATCATTAAACCATCTTCCCAATCAGCCTCCATGTTTCCAGTGTCTTTCTCCCAGCTTGGAACTGAACCAGATGGATATTTCTCCCAACATCTTTAAAATATTTTTTAATGATACAGATTTATTCCTTAGAGCTTCCAAAAAAATATACTGTACAATCAGGACCAGAATCTCCATTGCTAAGCAAGATGGTTGTTGTGGTTCATATCATTTTTTTTGCCACAGTTGTTAAGCAAATCACTGCAATTGTTAAGTGAATCATACGGTCGTTAAGCAAACCCAGCTTCCCCATTGAATGTTTGTCAGAAACTGGTTGGGAATGTCCCAAAAAGTGATTACATGACCCTGGGACACTGAAACTGTAATAAATACATCCTGGTTGCAAGGCCCCCAATGTCAGCCTTCAAGATTTTCTCCCTTTGCTTTGCATCTTTCGGCTGTCATAAGTAACGGGGGGGGGGGGGGGGAGGATGGGAAGCGAGCTGGAGGTGTTACAAACTAGAACTGTATAAACTGGGAGGGGGGAGAGTACATTCTTGCTTAGGTTTCTATTCCTTGCTTAGCTTTCTCTTCTATGCGCAGCTGCAAACCTTTATCAAAGCATGCCAAGGTCAACGGACAGAAGCCTCATCACCACCTGGAGATGTCCACATGATGATATTCACAAGTTTTAATTGGGAGAACCATCTGAACTATTGGGGGTGGGAACGTTGCCATCACTTTGTATATGTGATTCACGCGCCCATTTTCTCAGATTCAGAATTCTTTTGTTGCTACCACTTGACTTCCAGTAAAAGATATCTTTTCTCTAATTAAAAGAGTCTTAAGTATTTTTTCTTGGATTTTGAATGGAGCACCAGCTGACACCCAATTTTGATCGTGTGAGCATGGGGATGCTGCAATCATCGTGAGGACCAGTCATAAATCACTTTTTTCAGTGGTAGTGCAACCTTGAATGGTTTAAGTTGAGGACTGTTTGCATTTTCTCTATGAGTGTGCTGAGACAACTATGTACAACGTCTCAAGGCTTCCACAGCCAGAAGGTCAGGAGGAAGAGGAGGAGGAGGAGGAGGAGGAGACAACAACAACTGTGAAGTCCTTGGTGCTTTTGGAGCTGAGTGGTTTTCTTGCAGATGTTTCATTAAATTGGTAACGTCATCAATGCTAGAAGCAGGGGTGGGATTCAGCCGGTTCGGACCAGTTCATGTGAACTGGAGGTTCATTTTACATCTGGTTTGGCAAACTGCTAGTTCCGACGACTGGCTAGCTCCGCCCCTCCCCGGAGTCCCCACAGGGCGCATTTTGGATCCCAGATAAGTACAGGGCCTTTGGAGAGGCTCGGGGAAGATGAAAAATGGGCCTCCCCAAAACTGTTTGAATCCCACCTATGGCTAGAAGGGTGTGGGGTTCATAGAGAAGAGGAGGAGGAGGGAATCTGATGTAGCAAGCCCAGTCGATCTTACCTCTTGCCACTGGCGTAGGGTGCTTTGCCTCCAAGGGCAAACCAAAATTCAGCTGGTTCCTGCCCCTCCATAACAGTCTGTTTGTCCCACTTGGAGATGACATCAGCCACGGTCTTTGCCATTTCTCGCTCATCCCCACTGCATCCCTAAACAGAAAACCCAGGTCAAGGTGGATTCAGTCACTGCACCTTCTTCCCAGAGCCCATAATCCTTTAGGGCAAGTGGACCACCATCCTTCCAAAGCCACTCCCAGTTCCTTACACTTCCTGTAGCTCTCGGGTTTTTCTCTGATCCCGAAAATGCGACCAGACACTTGCAAAACATTACAGAAGAACGGATGGGCATTCTCCTGGCAATGTCTAAATGTTTAGCTAGCTCCCCCATTAATACAAGAGAGTTGGAAAGAACGTCAAAGAAGGACCTGCTAGATCATACTCGGTATAAAGGACTCAGGAAATGCGGGAACCCAAAAAAAAAATATCAAACTGACTTGTTTCCAGATAGAGGATTTGACACATGCATTCAACAACAACAACAACAAAGAACACGAGTGGCCTGTGTAGGAAGGATCACCCACCCCTCTCCTTGGAAAATGAAATATCCTAGGAAATATTAAAATGGCAGAATATTTCCCCTAAACAGAGTAGAAACTCAGAAGCAGAAACTCACCTCAGAAGCAGAAACGTCGCTCCCCCACCATCTTTGCTGATGGACCATTACTCTGACCTAGGCCAACTCTATTTTACATAACAAAGATCTACTCCAGGTAGAGTTATAATAGGAATTATAGCCCAAAGCCCTTTCATTACATGATCATCCAGCAAGGCTCAACCAAGCCTGGCACTCAGGACAGCCTACAGAGTTGCCTCCATATGGCCCCACGGGAGTCAAGCTCAAACTCAAAGCCCAACAGAGGGTATAAAACTCAGGCACTTTCAGCATCTCAGCCCTTCCTTCTTCTTGGCCTTCCTTCTTTGGAGCTCCAGGCCATGTGGTCCTGTCCACCATGAAACCATCTTTCCAAACAGCCTCCATGTTTCCAGTGTCTTTTCCCCCCACTTGGAACTGAACCCAGAAGGATAATTCTTCCAACACATAGTTTCTTACCCCGTTGAGACGGCTTACAGGCAAAACTGTAGCTTACCTTCTAAACATGCCTTAAAGTAGCTTTCAAAAATTCAAACTGCTCTTCCCCCATGCAAGAAAGATAAAAATTCATATATGACAAATTATCTACCAATTGACATCATCAACCCATTCAGCACTTTCTTATCTTTCAGGAGGCCCCAATTCCAGGGCTGGGAGGAACTGTGGAAGCAAGCAGTGCACAAAGCCATGCCCCCCCCCCTCCGCAACTAATTACAATTACAATTGAACCCAAAATTTCTGTGGCTTAGTGAGAACAATGATTAAGTGTATTTTCCCCATTTTATGACCTTTCTTGCCACAGTTGATAAGTGAATCATTGCAGTTGTGAAGCTAGTAACATGGTTGTTAAGAGAATCTGGCTTCCCCCTATTGGCTTGTCAGAAACGGCAACTGTCATAAATACGAGTCAATTGACAAGTGTCTGGATTTTGATCCAGTTGCTACAGTGGCCATAAGGGTAAAAACCAGCCGTAAGTCACTTTCTTTCAGTGCCATTGTAATTAAATGAACTGCTGTAAATCAAGGACTTCCAGATCCTTCACGGACTGTCTCTTGCAAGCTTCAAGATCATGCTTTGCCGGTTACAAGACAGATATCTTGAAAAACTAATTTTCCATAGCCACACACATGGTTTTTTGTTTTTTGTTTTTTTGATGTTTTGCAGCGGGGCAGGTACAAATATCTTCATAATTACTGGAAGCCAAACAAGATCCAGTAATGAGATCAACTAACCCACAGCCTTGTCAACTTTAATAATTATAGGTTTGATAGATACGCAGCCTGCTGGAACTAATTCTCGAAAAAAGAGGAATTCCTTTTTCTTTTTAATCTGTCCACAGGGGGGGGGGGGGGTATCTCGAGGGAATACAGGTGTAGCACTCTTAATTCGTTTACCTTTCCACACCACAGGTAACACACTTGGTTGGTCTTGAGAAGGAAGACGTCATTGGAATTGAGAGAAGAGGCTCGGGCGGGGACCTCGACCGTTTTGGTGTTGAATTCATCGGTACCTCTCACTTGGAAGAGCTGGACACCTGGTTCAGGTTCCGTCTTCTGACCATGATGGATGCCTCCCTAGAAAAGTCAACCAGATGGTGAATAAATAAATAAATAAAATAATATTAAAATAAATAAATAAATAAATAAATAAATAAAATTGGTGACCCAGCACCAAACATTATAAACCCCAAAGAGATGGATGCTGTAGGACAGTGATGGCAAACCTTCTTGTTGTGGTGTGCCGAAAGCATGTGCACGGCATCCACAATGCAATGTGCCCCGCCCCCCTGTGCATGCATGAGCAACACACACACCCTTACCTGCACTGTGCATGCGCACGCCTCCCAAATGATTTTCAGCCTGTTTGAGGCCGTTTTCGCCCTCCCGGAGGCTCTGGAGCCTCAGGAGGCTGAAAACAGGCTCGTTTTGGCACTTCCGGTATTTCCAGAAGTCCTGTTTTTCGGCCTCCCGGAGCTGCAGAGGCTTTCCTCAAGACTCCAGGAGGGCGAAAACGGCCTCAAACGAGCCGAAAATCAGCTGGGAAGCATGCGCATGTGCAGTGCAGGTAAGTTTGGCTGGGGCTCGCATGCCCACACAAATGGCTCCATGTGCCACCTGTGCCATGCGTGCCATAGGTTCGCCATCATGCTGTAGGATGTTTTTCTCCCAGGGAGATGGAATCCTGCTGGAATCCTTGACAATGGGATTGTAGTAGATGGGAAACTATGGCCTTTTTATGACTTGTGGACTTCAACTTCCAGAATTCCTGAGCCAGCCATGGGAGTTGAAGTCCACAAGGCATAAAAGGGCCATAGTTTCCCATTCCTGGGATGAATTCCACCCCACAGGGCATAGGAAATCCATAAGAGGGACCATTCTGATCAACATCTGCATAGCTTCAAGGCACAAGGTTGAGGAGCACTGGTATCACCAAAATTTAATAAGCTATTTCTTCCTACTCAATAAAATATACAAGGTTAATCACCCCTTTCACAAAAACAAATCAGCATCTGTGTAATGCCAGGATAGCCATCCAGATGTTCCACCTGAGTTGAAAAGAGGAGCAAAGAATGACTCATCTTCTATAACATGAAGGTCTTTCAAAGACCGTTTGTACCTCATAAATGATCAAATTTCCCTTGAAGATAGCGAGGAAATGCCGGGGTTCCTTCCCCATTGTCACTCGAACCTGGACTGGCTCGTCCCCATATTTCTTGTCCAGCTCCACGGCATTGATAGCACAAGCCGTAGTTTCATCCACTGATGCATGGCGGCCCTAGGGAGGAAGAGACGAAAATGGAGCTCTCTTTTCCAAGATCCAAAGAAGGAGCAAAAAAGGATTAACTGTCCAAAGTAGGAGGACTGTCAGGAATCCAAGAAGAGAAAAATAGCTCTGCTGGATCAGGCCAAGGTTCATTATTGACCAGCATTTTGTTTCTCCATTAGGTGTTGCTAGGTTGTTCCCAAAGAGAAGATCTTTGGTCCTTCAAACCAAGGAAGACCCTTGAAGACCTCCTTCATTTCCCCTATTGGTCCTCTTTAACACAGTCCCCCAAACTGGAGATAACTCCAACTCTTCAAAACTCATAGACCCGACTTCTCCAAATTCACCTGATTAAAGTCACCCCATTAGGGGCCATCAAAACAGCTCAAGGTCTACAGGTTCATGATGTGCTGTGTAAAGAAGTACAGCTTAGGATCATTTATTTAATGACTATTTGCAGGTACGATAGCAGTGAAAAAATGATTTACAACCCATCTTCAAAGCTATAGCTTGAAGGTCACCTGATGGTCACCTGATGTAAGAGGAGTGGTAGAGCATTGTGGATGGAGTCAAAAGAGGAACCAGCCTAGAATCTCTACACTGGAATAAACGGACCAAATCCAATCCCTTTTGAATTCCGTCAACCCTTATTTAGTGCTGAAATAGTGCTAATCTTAGCTGACTAGATTCCGATGCACAGGCCTGAGGAATAAATCAGTTTAATTGGAACTGAATGTGTCGCTCTGGTCTTTTGCACCTAACATGTGATCATGATTTGGGCAGTTGGCATTTGGCTCACATTTATGATGTGATTATGGCTTGTGACCTCCACAGCTGGCTTCCAACAAGCAAAGTCAATGGGAAAAGCCAGGTTTGCTTAACAATTGTGCAATTTGCTCAATGACTGTAGTGATTTGAGTAAACTTGAGTTGGGTCACACAATGATTTGCTTAACAACCACATCACTCAGCAACATATTATGGTCCCAATTGTGGTAGAAATTGAGGACTATCTGTATTTTATTTTGCCTCTTCTAAAACTCTTTCCAATAAGAACTTAAGGATAGCCTGACTAGATAAAACCAAGGCATTCCTAGTCCAACATGTCTATGGAGATTCTCAATCACCCAGGTCATGGCTGTCTCAAAGGTGTTTTTCCTTGAAGATGTTTCGCTTCTCATCCAAGAAGCTTCTTCAGAAACATCTTCAACACCTTTGGGACAACCATGACCTGAATGATCTGGAAACATCTTCAAAGAAAAACAAAGTCCAGATGTTTTTGTTAAAAGACATCCTACTGGGACATCCTATTGCAACATTTTGTTTCTCCTAGTGGTTCTCCAGATGCCTCTGAGATGCTGGGAGATAGGAAATGAAAATGGACATCTCCTTCCTTCCCATTAGTGTTCCTCTACATCTGGCATCTGGAGGCAGGATGTAATTAGGAGGTATTATGGAGTCTTCAACACTCATAGACCTCAATAGACCTGTATGTCATGAATATATTAATTCTCACCTGATCACTAGCCATATCTTGTGGTCCTGGACTCCATGGGTTAAATTTTATTTTGTTTATTCTCAATCTCCTCCCAAATGTCCATGTAACACACACACACACACACACACACACACACACACAAAATTGTGGGAGAATGGAAAGCTTCATCTTGCATTGTTCATTCAAGCCAGGCATGATTTTATGAGTAGAGAAAAAAACATGGATATATTTTGGCAAGGAGAAGATAATTCTGTGACTTGGTATCAGGAATTAGCCGATTTGATTCTACCAGTGCCTTGGGTCCTGTGATTTGAGGTTTAAGCTGATCCCAAGATTGGTAACCATCTAAAAAATGGGAGACTAGCAAATCACCTTCTACCATTGAGATTACCCAACAATCACCAACTGTGGAATTATTATTTTTTACTTACCTGCCACATGTAGATAATGTAATGAGGTCGGCCTGATTTCGTGTAGGTGTACAAGACGAGGTAACAGTCACCCCCATAAAACTGGCCATAAGTCTTCGGATTAACTGGAACCATCTCCCGATTCTCAATTCGCCATACCTGAAAAGAAACCCAGATACAGCGTTCACACAACATGAGCCAGTTTGGTCTGGTGGTTAGGGCACCAGTTTAGAAACCAAGAGACTGGGAGTTCTAGTCCCATCTTAACCGTGAAAGATGGCTGGGTGACTTTGAGCCAGTCACCAGGTGACAGGGAGTTCTAGTCCCACCTTGGGCATGAAAGCCAATTGGGCAACTCTGAAATGGTCAAAGCCCTGAAGAATGACAACAACATTGGAGGGTCCCTGGTGCTCGCTTGTTTTCTTGCAGATATTTCATTACCCAAACTAGGTAACATTATTAGTGCTAATCCACCAAGGACCTCTCATGTGAACTCTGAGCTACAGATACACTCTTTTTATTAAAAACATATGAAGAATGGTTGCAGGAATTGGATATGGCTAATCTAGAGAAAAGAAGGACTAAGGGTGAGATGATAGCAGTATTCCAGTATTTGAGGGGCTGCCACAAAGAAGAGGGGGGTGTCAACTTATTTTCCAAGCCACCAGAAGGCAGGACAAGAAACAATGGATAGAAATTGTTCAAGGAGAGACGCAACCTGGAATTAAGGAGAAGTTTCTTAATTGTGAGGATAATTAACCAGTGGAATGCCTTGCCCCCAGAAGTTGTGGGCACTCCATCACTGGAGGTTTTAAAGAAGAGACTGGGCAGCCACT